GATGTTGGTGCTTAGAGATCTGCTTTTAAACAGCTCTATGTGATAAATGATCTAATCATTTAATTTTTTATCTAATAGACTGCTCTCATAAAGCAGCAAGGTTAACCTTTAAAATAATTGTCAGCCCACCTTTTGGAATTCTAATGATTTCATAAGTGCTAGTTAATCCAGGCTTCCCACTACTTTGAAGGATGCCCACGTACAGCTCATCATGATCTGCCGATAACAGGTAGTTGACCTTAAATCTCTTTATCACACAGATGAAAGATTGAATCTTCCCACAGCCGAAGCTTTCTTGGTGCTTCAGAGAAAAAGTAACAAAGGCTAACATAATTTACCAAAGAGAACCCGTTTCTATTACTCGATCTTTATATATTAGTCTAATATATATCATTTAGCAGCAAGGTGCTTTATATCATCTGACCTTACACACACCAGCAGGGAATGTATTTCCTGAAAACTCAGTCAAACATAAAACTCGAATTCATCATTTATTGAATTGTTATAGAATTGATTTTTTATTGCTACATCTCACAGTTCATCGTCAAGTGAGGATGCCTATAGATAATCTTTAATATAACCACTGTCCAAAAATATAGACTCCCTCTGTTGTAAAACTACATCTCCGTTGATGCCTAGTCCTTTGTTTTGGCCATCTCTGTGTTAGTATGATGCTCATGCTGTTAGCATCATCATTTTTCCCTATGGAAGCTCTTCACATTGTTCAAGTGGAGTGAATCAGAGAGCCCTCTTTGCCCTACAATCTTTATGAACTACTCATGATGACTACATTGGCATTGGATCACTACTTTGGAAGCCTGAGGTTGACAAAAGGCAGAGCTCTGCCATTAAGAATGATTGTTCAATCTTCACAGAGGAGCATTGGGGACGAAGCCACCAGTGATCCTCTTGTCGTAGAGAATCATTGAATACAAGCTGTGGTGGTACTGGTGTTCCTGGGAAAGAGAGCCGGGAAGTAACAGTTCAATCCTGAGGCAGACGGTGTAGCTTCAAGCTGAGTTCCCAAGCCTTCAAATTTTAATATATAACAAATTTGAGGTTAGAACACAGGGGGAACTACTGTAGACGCTATAACAACTGCAATTAGATGAAATCGTTACAGTGAGTACAGTGTTCCTTTAAAGAGGCAGCTAATTATTTAGAGCCAACATTGCAGTGGATCATACTGAATATTTATAACAAGGTAAACTGCATTGCAAACGCTGTGTGTAGTTCAGGTCTCCCAAATTCATTTGCATTTAGTTAATGCTTAAAGGACCACTATAGTGCCAGGAAAACATACTCGTTTTCCTGGCACTATAGTGCCCTGAGGGTGCCCCCACCCTCAGGGACCCCCTCCCGCCCGGCTCTGGAAGGGGGTAAAACGTACCTTTTTCCAGCCTGGGGGGACCTCCTCCTCCTCCTCCTCTTCTCTCTCCCATGTGAATGAGCGCGTAAGGCTACGCATTCAGCAGGTTGCATAGGAAAGCATTTACAATGCTTTCCTATGGACGCTGCGTGCTCTCACTGTGATTTTCACAGTGAGAATCGCATAGCGCCTCTAGCGACTGTCAATGGGACCACTAGAAGATTAGGGGAAGGCTTAACCCATTAATAAACATAGCAGTTTCTCTGAAACTGCTATGTTTATAAAACAATGGGTTAACCCTAGCTGGACCTGGCACCCAGACCACTTCATTAAGCTGAAGTGGTCTGGGTGCCTAGAGTGGTCCTTTAATTAATTTAATTACAGGATCACTTACCCTATCTAGATGACCTGACATCACATGACAGCATGTTCTTTGGAGATATTGATAGACTTAGCTTTAAAAAAACATAAAGCACAAACTACAATTTTCCTTTACACAGTACGTCTATATTATATTTGTAATTGAATTTGCTGGTTATCTACCTGCTGTGGGAAGTTATTTTCTGTTACATATTTTATTCCTCACTGCGTTTTAACACAACATTGAACGCTTTTGTTCTCAGGACACAGGAAGCACATTAGAAAATGACTTGCCGGCTGCTGCCATGAGTGATATGTTTATAGTATTTTTTTTTTTATCAGCTTTTGGTGCTGACAGAGTTAGTGAGTTAACACATTCACACAGGTATGAAGTGGTAGAGGTGTTCTTTTTGCCGCATGTCCACGTTCCCAAATATAATAATACTGAGCATGACCTGGGTAATAACGACATTGCATGATGCTCCTTGTCACTGATCATGTCCATTAATATTATAATAAAGCATGTGACTGTTTGTTAGGTTGTGCGTTCACACCTTTTTTATCTCGGGTTTGGCAAAATGGTTATTCAGTTCTTCAGATAGTGTCTGCCTAGTAACTGGGGACTATAAATTAGATCATTAGTCGCATGATTATGTGTAGAACTGCTGAGATAGTCCCACAAGCAGTTATTTATGGGCTCAGTAAGGTCTTCTGGGAAATGTAGTTTAGCAGTCAACTTTGCTTTCACTATTAAAAGCAAACAGGTGAACTGCAACTCCCAGACAACACCAGGAATGACAGTGGTATTTGGGGGAGATCTGACAACTCTTGCCTTTGGGGGAGCAAATATAAACTCTGTTTTCTGTGACTACATGCAGTTGGAGTATGTTGTATCGAGAACAGGGGTGACTGGCCCTTGGCTTGTGATCCAGATCTGTCCCTCTCTGTTGTCTGTCCCTCCTCTTCCAGCACCAGGGGCCCCAACTGTATTCCCTGCAGGTAGCGATTCTCCTTCCTGCTTTGTCCACTCTGGCAGGAAGAGATCCCTCTGTGCACGCTCTGTCCACTACGGCATTCCTCTGTCCACTCCGGCAGGCAGCGATTCCCTCTGTCCACTCCGGCAGGCAGCGATTCCCTCTGTCCACTCCGGCAGGCAGCGATTCCCTCTGTCCACTCCGGCAGGCAGCGATTCCCTCTGTCCACTCCGGCAGGCAGCGATTCCCTCTGTCCACTCCGGCAGGCAGCGACTCCCTCTGTCCACTCCGGCAGGCAGCGACTCCCTCTGTCCACTCCGGCAGGCAGCGACTCCCTCTGTCCACTCCGGCAGGCAGCGACTCCCTCTGTCCAAGTCCCTCAGCCGTCAATCAAGTTACACAGCAGGTGGAGTCTGACAACTTTCTAACGCTCCTATAATATTTAAAATTATTTTAAACACACCATCTTTAAAATAGGGCATCATTTTGAAATATAAGGGCGTCGTGAATGATCATATTCTGTTAGTTATTTTTGCCATATACCACGTTTTCTGGGACACATAAAATTTCACAATGTTGATGGGCAGCACATGAAAATGCTGCCCTGTATTATGTATATGTATATGATGTCGGGTTCCTGATTGATTTATCACATGATTTACTACCTGCAGCATTTGACTTTTACATACTGCAGGGCCGCACTTTCTGTATGTTGCACATCAATATATATAAATGATATGTGTCCTATGGTGGGTATGGTATCTCTAGTTAAAGCGATCTGTAAAAGTGCTTTGGTACACCCCAAATTCTCCCCACATGCAGATTCTTTTAGCTATATAGCAAGCTGTATGCCGTAAATTTATATCTTAAATTTTTCTTTACATTTGATATGCTGGAACAATAAGCTAAATTTTAATTTCTATAGTCAGAAAATTGACTTTAAAATCCAGGAAAGCGTCGCCGGAGCCATACAAATAGCCTGTTAAATTATTGTGAAACAGTTAAGCTGTAAATAAGTACCATAGATCTTTTTAATAGGTGCAAAGTATCCAAGCCATTAGTTTCATGCCAATGTCTTTTCCATTCACACTACTTCAGTCCATGACTTATAAATCTTTTCTCATCAAGCTGTATTATTCTTCCCAAGCAAGACCAACATCCAGCAAAGCACAGTGAGTGAAAGTCAATGAAGGTCGAGCAGGCAATGAAATTATTACAGATTTCACAATGAACACTAATGGACTTCTTTAATGTGATTAGTTGTAAATGCATGTGACCTTGTTGACAAGGGTCATTTTTAGTATGTTAATTTTCTTACCATTTAGAATTCCTTTCTCTATTTACATAATGAAGATTTATTTTAATAGCTTGATTTTTTTTTTTTTTTTTATATGAATAAAGACAATTATCTACGAGATCGCACCATCTGTGATAATGGTTTAAAATCTATAACTAGTTAATATCGTAGTATTCAATAGAGCAGCCTGCCACTAGGCTTTGGGGCTAATCCATTCACTTGTTGATTGAAAATCGGTTAAGTAGCCATGCGCAGCACCCAAACCTCCTTGGAAAGTGTTCCGCCTCTCTGCGTTATTGACTTACCGTTTTGTGACTTTTAAGGAAAAGGTGTCTTGTTTTGGGCAAATTGCTGGGTTTTAACCACTGTTTGATCTGTTTGAAACATTATTTAAAGTATATATGCATGATAAAAACATTTTCTATGCTATAGTTTGCCCACGGTTCCATTTATTAGAAGTATTTTCCCCTACTACTTCTTTATTTTTTTTTATAGTGACCCTTTAAAGGGTGTCCGTTGTGGTACCTATAACTTTTGATCTTTTGAACATGGGTAATTATTAACCCTATATACTTACAATATAAATTGGCAATATATCCTTGCATTCAATTTTGCATTCCCTACAAGGTGGCTCTTTGCCTTCTCCAACCTCATTTGTGTACTTTATAAAGTGACCTTTGCCTCCCACCCATACATATTTACATACAATAGGAAGTGAGGATTAATCATACAAGAGAAAGGGTGCATACTTTGCCCCATGGGACATTTGACCCTTACAAGTGCTATTACATTGTTTTCTTGCAAACAGACAGAGCCACCCCCTTATTCAACCAATACCAGACCTGCTGAAGTGGACATGTCTTCAGCTGGAGTTTTTGGTTCATATTCTCACAGCATCAAGAAAGAGTTTATATAATTATTTTTCCTTTTTTTTTCATGTTCCTGTTATATGTAATCTAAAACGGTTGAGCTTGCTTACCAGTGAAGGTGTAAAATGTGAAATGAATTCTCTTTATTCCCTCTGTTTTCAGGTGTCAGATGAGTCAGTAAAGGCGTTTGCAGAGCACTGTCCGAGTCTCCAGTATGTTGGATTTATGGGCTGTTCTGTTACATCTGAAGGTGTCATACACCTTACTAAGGTAATTGGAACAAAAATACACATTATTTCAACTGTTACCAGTATATTATTGTTAGCATGATTATTATTTAAACGGTTTGCTTTGAACTGTGGCCTTATATACTCCATATATTAAAATCAGGATTTCCCAAGTAAGCAATTTAATCTCATAAGAGCAGGCATTATGTTACTAGAACAGAACCTGCAACAATGGGGTACATTGGTCTTGTGGTAGGCAGAATGCAATGTAAGATCCTATACTGTAACTTAATACCCAATATTTTTGCCCATCGGGTTAAAAAAAAAACCCTGAAATTTTGTGAGCTTTGAAGTTGTAGTTTAGTGTGTGGCTGCAGTGGATATTGCATTTTATATTAACAACCTTATAATGTATGTATGTTCAGGTGAGTGCAGCTCGATAGGGCACTGTCGTGTGGCGTTTTAGCTCTGGAGGAGATATTAGTGGAATAGGCAACCTAATCTATTGTCTATATAATGGGGGTTACTTCATTCGTATTGCACCCCTTTATTTATTTTCTGCTTAGTAACATTCTACTCCCTAACTACTGAGTCTTAGTAACATTCTACTCCCTAACTACTGAGTCTTAGTAACCTTCTACTCCCTAACTACTGAGTCTTAGTAACATTCTACTCCCTAACTACTGAGTCTTGGTAACATTCTACTCCCTAACTACTGAGTCTTAGTAACATTCTACTCCCTAACTACTGAGTCTTAGTAACATTCTACTCCCTAAACTACTGAGTCTTAGTAACATTCTGCTCCCTAACTACTGAGTCTTAGTAACATTCTACTCCCTAACTACTGAGTCTTAGTAACATTCTACTCCCTAACTACTGAGTCTTAGTAACCTTCTACTCCCTAACTACTGAGTCTTAGTAACATTCTACTCCCTAACTACTGAGTCTTGGTAACATTCTACTCCCTAACTACTGAGTCTTAGTAACATTCTACTCCTTAACTACTGAGTCTTAGTAACATTCTACTCCCTAAACTACTGAGTCTTAGTAACATTCTGCTCCCTAACTACTGAGTCTTAGTAACATTCTACTCCCTAACTACTGAGTCTTAGTAACATTCTACTCCCTTACTACTGAGCCTTAGTAACATTCTACTCCCTTACTACTGAGTCTTAGTAACATTCTACTCCCTAACTACTGAGTCTTAGTAACATTCTACTCCCTAACTACTGAGTCTTAGTAACATTCTACTCCCTAACTACTGAGTCTTAGTAACATTCTACTCCCTAACTACTGAGTCTTAGTAACATTCTACTCCCTAACTACTGAGTCTTAGTAACATTCTACTCCCTAACTACTGAGTCTTAGTAACATTCTACTCCCTAACTACTGAGTCTTAGTAACATTCTACTCCCTAACTACTGAGTCTTAGTAACCTTCTACTCCCTAACTACTGAGTCTTAGTAACATTCTACTCCCTAACTACTGAGTCTTAGTAACATTCTACTCCCTAACTACTGAATCTTAGTAACATTCTACTCCCTAACTACTGAATCTTAGTAACATTCTACTCCCTAACTACTGAGTCTTAGTAACATTCTACTCCCTAACTACTGAGTCTTAGTAACATTCTACTCCCTAACTACTGAATCTTAGTAACATTCTACTCCCTAAACTACTGAGTCTTAGTAACATTCTACTCCCTTACTACTGAGCCTTAGTAACATTCTACTCCCTTACTACTGAGACTTAGTAACATTCTACTCCCTAAACTACTGAGTCTTAGTAACATTCTACTCCCTAACTACTGAGTCTTAGTAACATTCTACTTCCTAACTACTGAGTCTTAGTAACATTCTACTCCCTTACTACTGAGTCTTAGTAATATTCTACTCCCTAAACTACTGAGTCTTAGTAACATTCTACTCCCTAAACTACTGAGTCTTGGTAACATTCTACTCCCTAACTACTAAGTCTTAGTAACATTCTACTCCCTAACTACTGAGTCTTAGTAACATTCTACTGCATAACTACCGAGTCTTAGTAACATTCTACTCCCTTACTACTGAGTCTTAGTAACATTCTACTCCCTAACTACTGAGTCTTAGTAACATTCTACTCCCTTACTACTGAGTCTTAGTAATATTCTACTCCCTAAACTACTGAGTCTTAGTAACATTCTACTCCCTAAACTACTGAATCTTAGTAACATTCTACTCCCTAAACTACTGAGTCTTAGTAACATTCTACTCCCTAAACTACTGAGTCTTGGTAACATTCTACTCCCTAACTACTAAGTCTTAGTAACATTCTACTCCCTAACTACTGAGTCTTAGTAACATTCTACTGCATAACTACCGAGTCTTAGTAACATTCTACTCCCTTACTACTGAGTCTTAGTAACATTCTACTCCCTAACTACTGAGTCTTAGTAACATTCTACTCCCTTACTACTGAGTCTTAGTAATATTCTACTCCCTAAACTACTGAGTCTTAGTAACATTCTACTCCCTAACTACTGAGTCTTAGTAACATTCTACTCCCTAACTACCGAGTCTTAGTAACATTCTACTCCCTAACTACTGAGTCTTAGTAACATTCTACTCCATAACTACCGAGTCATAGTAACATTCTACTCCCTAACTACTGAGTCTTAGTAACATTCTACTCCCTAACTACTGAGTCTTAGTAATATTCTACTCCCTAAACTACTGAGTCTTAGTAACATTCTACTCCCTAACTACTGAGTCTTAGTAACATTCTACTCCCTTACTACTGAGTCAGTTCATGGTATATGTCACTGCCAAGGTAAAAGTGACTGCATCGTTTTGTTGAAGGCTTTCAAGGTAACTTTGATTTACAGCTGAAGTTTTTTCATTTTCTACCGGAGTCTCCTTTAAACAGCAGAACTCCCATTGAGTTTACAGTGATTCGCATCCAACTCATTAGGAGCTGCACTCTGGGGAGATTCTGCCCAGATAAATTTTAAATGTTACCGTTTCTAACGAGTTGTATTTAGTGAGTACCCTAGCTGGTAATTGTTTGAAAATCATTTATGTGTACCAGTTCAAGAATAGCTTACGTAGTGAAAAATGCCTTGGTGTTTTTAATTCTCAGAGCTCCTAACTTCCTTTCACTACTTCTCATGTTTCTGGCTTCTCTAATCTATCGAACTGGACATCCTGTTTCTCCAGCCCTGCATACTGGTAGGTATCTTCTGTAAGGTTGAAGAAGGCCATGCACTTTAGACAGACACTGTAGGCACCCAGACTGGTCATCTCATTAAAGTGGTCTGGGAGCAGTGTCCCTGTCCCCTTTTTGCAGTTTTTTCTTTTTTTTTTTTTGTGACCATTTATATTGAGTTTATACATTGTGATACTTTTCAATACTTTTCAATAGCGCAAAAAATTTATTTTCACCGTAACACATACAATAGGATCAATGTACGCTGGGGACAATTATCACATCAAACATTTACAAACACTGCATTCATCTCTGAATGTTCTAATATCGTCTGTAAGCATCCTAGAACAACTAATTTCATATAGTATTCCAGGATTACAGTATTTCGCCCAAAAGGACTCTTTCCTGCATTTGTCTGTATTTTTCACACAAGTAAAGAGTCAGATCATAAAGAGACCCAGATACAGTAACATGAAACAATAAAACAAAATGAAAACATAAAATACTTAATGGAACAAACAAAGAAGCGAAAAGTTAACTTGTCCAATGCAGCGGCCTGTTAAAACATTGCAGTTTTAGAGAAATTAAAGGCTAAGATTGCCTCTGTCTCATGTAGTTTGACTCCGTGATACACGCTTTGCATGAGGACATCCAGTGTCTAAGAAAACCCCGTAGGAAAGCATTGATGCAACTCTTTCTTATGGGGGAAGGCCTAATGCGTGCATATCGCTCGCCGTGCATACGCATTAGGTCCCCCCAATGGGCTGACGTTGGAAGAGGCAGAGCGCAACCCAGCACTGAGGGACATCCGCACTGGAATCGGGTAGGTGAATAAAGGGTTACTTAACCTTTTACATTGCTGAGGTTGGTGTTAGGCAGAGGAACAAGTTAGTGTTAGAAATACATTTTTCTATTGCGAACACTAAAGTTTCCTTTAACTATGTTCCCAATTTTCAACAGCCACTTGATAGATGTTTGGACATCTAAGCAAGCTTATTACACGAATCAGGACCAACCGCTAATACAAAACAAAGGTGAAGTACAAACAGGTTTTGTGTAGTCTAGAAATCTCGACAAATATCCACCTTTGTCATCAGTCTTGTGATGTAGGTTCTGTATTCCAGATGGAAGCACAATATGTGTCTGTTAAAGTTTTCGAGAGTCTTATTGTATAAATTCAATTTATGGCACACAGATTTAAATAATCTGTTTTCATGATTCATATTCTTAGTTTCTAGCAACTGCCACTTCATTGACTTGCAACCGATACAGAGCTGTTTTTCATGTTCTTGAGAATACATTTTTTGTCTGAACAGCCATTCTCTGCTATTCCTTATCTGCTGAAAGTTTGAATGCATTTTTATGAACCCTAGAAAATGACATTACACGGGAAAGCTGAGAAACACTGAGTACTAAAATACCTGAATCCTTATTACGGTTTGTGGAATTGCACAAAGACTACAAGTGTTTATTACAAAATCACGCTATTGTCTTTAAAACAAAACATTTTCATTTCCTTTATATACATTAAGTAGAGGTTAATAGCCTATAGAAATTATGAAGTCTTAGCTGAATTAGTCTTTTATGCATACAGTGATGGAAAAAATAATTTGATCCCCTGCTGATTTTGAATGTTTGTCAACTGACAAAGAAATGATCAGTCTATAATTTTAATGGTAGGTGTATTTTAACAGAGACAGAATAACAACAACAACAAAATCCAGAAAAACGCATGTCAAAAAAGTTATAAAATGATTTGCAGGTCAATGAGTGAAATAAGTATTTGATCCCCTATCAATCAGCCAGATTTCTGGCTCCCAGGTGACTTTTATACAGGTAACGAACTGAGATTAGGAGCACTCTCTTAAAGGGAGTTCTCCTAATCTCAGCTCGTTACCTGTATAAAAGACACCTGTCCACAGAAGCAATCAATTCCAAACTCTCCACCATGGCCAAGACCAAAGAGCTGTCCAAGGATGTCAGGGACAAGATTGTAGACCTACACAAGGCTGGAATGGGCTACAAGACCATCGCCAAGCAGCTTGGTGAGAAGGTGACAACAGTTGGTGTCCAGAACTACATGGGAGGATCTTGTTAATGATATCAAGGCAGCTGGGACCATAGTCACAAAGAAAACATTTGGTAACACACTACACCCGAAAGACTGAAATCCTGCAGTGCCCTTGCTCAAGAACGCACATGTACAGGCCCGTCTGAAGTTTGCCAATGAATATCAGAATGATTCAGAGGAGAACTGGGTGAAAGTGTTGTGGTCAGATGGCTTTATTTCTCATGGTAGCTCTGTTTGGAATGGAGATAAGCTGTACAAAAAAGATGGTTTGCATCTTTCTCAAAAGGGAACAAATGTTCTCAGTGAGCAGTTCAGAGGTTTTGCTAGGATGTATTTAAACTAGGGGGGGGGGGGAAAGGGTGATAAAACATCAATCCAATTGTCCCCCAAAACAAGGATAGAAGGTGCCTGTATCAAGTGTGTTAAAAAATGATAAGCTTAGAGTCATGTCTACAAATGCTCGCAGTTTAGGGAATAAGATCCATGAACTTGTGGCAATAATGGCAACTGATAGTGTAGATTTAGTCGCTGTTACTGAGACATGGTACAATGAGAAAATGACTGGGACATAGCAATACCAGGGTACTCTTTATATAGGAAAGATAGGGAAGGCAAGAAAGGGGAGGGGTGGCCTTGTATGTGAAGGATAGCATAAAATCTAGCCTAATAAAAGTTAGTGAGGCAAACATAGAGTCCGTTTGGGCTACGTTAGAATTTGGTAATCACACAGTAACTCCTGTAGGTGTGATTTATAGGCCCCCAGGACAAATTGAAGAGTTAGATAATCTACTAGTTGAGGAAATAGCTAAAATGACAATGAAGGGGGAAGTTATCATGGGTGACTTTAATCTTCCTGATGTAAATTGGAAAACAAAATTAGCTACTTGTGCCAAGAGCACACATATTCTAAACTCCCTACTGGGATTGTCTCTAAAACAAGTTGTTGAGGAGCCAACTCGTAAAGAGGCCATACTAGATTTAGTGTTAACAAATGGAGATTTGGTATCAGATGTTACTGTAGGTGAAAGTTTAGAATCCAGTGATCATCAGTCAGTGTGGTTTAATATAAGAACAGTGACTGAGTCACACCACACAAAAACAAAAGTTTTAGACTTTAGAAAGACAGACTTTTCTAAAATTAGAATATGGGTAGAGGAGTCATTATCAGACTGGAGCAATTTAAATGGAGTCCAAGAGAAATGGGATTATTTAAAAGTTGCACTATTGAAGGCAACAGAAAATTGCATTAGGCTTGTCAGTAAAAGCAAAAAAATTCAAGAAACCAGTGTGGTACATCTGGGCCTCAGATGTGGCCAAAATAGTTAAAAACAAAAAGTTAGCATTTAGGAATTATAAAAAAACCCAGAGTTAGGAAGACAAAATGATCTATAAGATTAGGCAGAAAGAGGCTAAGCAAGTTATAAGAGCTTCCAAATCACACACAGAAGAGAAAATAGCACAGTCAGTAAAAAAGGGGGATAAAACATTTTTAGATACATAAATGAGAAAAGAAAAGTAAAACAAGGATTAGTTAGATTAAAAACAAAAGAAGGAAGATATGTAGAAGAGGATAAAGGTCAGGCTGACTGCCTCAATGAATATTTTTGTTCTGTATTTACAGATGAAAATGAAGGAAAGGGACCTCAGTTGAGAAAAAGGATAAATGACTCATTTATTACACGTGAGTTTACAGAGGAAGAGGTTCTATTTCAACAGTCAAAAGTAAAGACAAATAAGTCAATGGGACCTGATGAAATGCACCCAAAGCTATTAAAAGAGCTTAGTGGTGTACTAGCAAAACCATTAACAGATTTATTTAACCAATCATTGTTAACAGGAGTAGTCCCAGAAGATTGGAAGTTAGCTAATGTTGTGCCCATTTACAAGAAAGGTAATAAGGAGGAGTCGGGCAACTATAGGCCAGTAAGCCTTACTTCAGTAGTGGGGAAAGTGATGGAAACCATGTTAAAGGATAGGATTGATGAACATCTAAAAACACATGGATTTCAAGATCAGAGACAACATGAGTTTACTTCAGGGAGATCATGCCAAACTAATCTTATTGATTTTTTTGATTGGGTAACTAAAATTATAGATCAGGGTGGTGCAGTAGACATTGCTTACCTAGATTTCAGTAAGGCTTTGACACTGTTGCACATAGAAGGCTTATCAATAAACTGCAATCTTTAAGTTTGGATTCCAATATTGTTGAATGGGTAAGGCAGTGGCTGAGTGACAGGCAACAGAGGGTTGTAGTTAATGGAATATATTAGAAGCTTGGACTTGTCACCAGTGGGGTACCTCAGGGATCTGTACTTGGACCCATTCTCTTTAATATTTTTATTAGTGATATTGCAGAAGGTCTTGATGGTTAGGTATGTCTTTTTGCTGATGATACTAAGATATGTAACAGGGTTGATGTTCCAGGAGGGATAAGCCAAATGACAAATGATTTAGGTAAACTAGAAAATGGTCAGAATTGTGGCAACTGACATTTAATGTGGATAAGTGCAAGATAATGCATCTTGGACGAAAAAACCCAAGGGCAGAGTACAGAATATTTGATAGAGTCCTAACCTCAACATATGAGGAAAGGGATTTAGGGGTGATTATTTCTGATGACTTAAAAGGTAGGCAGACAATGTAATAGAGCAGCAGGAAATGCTAGCAGAATGCTTGGTTGTATAGGGAGAGAGGTATTAGCAGTAGAAAGAGGGAAGTGCTCATGCCATTGTACAGAACACTGGTGAGACCTCACTTGGAGTATTGTACACAGTACTGGAGACCTTATCTTCAGAAGGATATTGATACCTTAGAGAGGGTTCAGAGAAGGGCTACTAAACTGGTTCATGGATTGTGGGATAAAACTTACCAGGAAAGGTTAAAGGATCTTAACATGTATAGCTTGGAGGAAAGGCGAGACAGGGGGGATATGATAGAAACATTTAAATATATAAAGGGAATCAACACAGTAAAGGAGGAGACTATATTTAAAAGAAGAAAAACTACCACAGCAAGAGGACATAGTCTTAAATTAGAGGGACAAAGGTTTAAAAATAATATCAGGAAGTATTACTTTACTGAGAGGGTAGTGGGTGCATGGAATAGCCTTCCAGCTGAAGTGGTAGAGGTTAACACAGTAAAGGAGTTTAAGCATGCGTGGGATAGGCATAAGGCTATCCTAACTATAAGATAAGACTAGGGACTAATGAAAGTATTTAGAAAATTGGGCAGACTAGATGGGCCGAATGGTTCTTATCTGCCGTCACATTCTATGTTTCTTTGACCAAAATCGAGTTCTTTGGCATCAGCTCAACTCGTCGTGTTTGGAGGAGGAGGAATGCTTCCTATGACCCCAAGAACACCATCCCCACCGTCAAACGTGGAGGAGGAAACCTTATACCAATGTAACGGATCGCCTGGGACCCCGACTGGGTACCTCCGTTAAAGGATGCTCCTAGTGCTTCCTGAGGACTCCAAGCACTCTGGCAGACACCACAATCACCGAACCGGAGAAACAAATAAATTCTCCCAAGCATATGAATGCTGTAGACAGTTGAATAGGAACCATACGAATAGGTTTACTCTCCTAGCAGTCAAACTGGAACAGCATACAATAAATCCTTCCCCCAATAATGAGGCGACACTTCACTTTGAGGGTTAAGCAGGAACTCCCTGTACTGTCACATACAGTCTCTTTTATTCCCAATCCACAAACATAGTACAGCCCACAGGGCGTTACAAAACAACCAATCAATCCGTACAATACACCCAGACACTCCCACACAAAATCCTCTTCTCTGCATGTGATATGATTACTGAACACAATGGGTAATCTCATTATCACCGGCAGAGGAATACAGTTTTTACACAATATTTATAACTCCTAAAATATAAATGTCACAAACATAAAACATACATTTTCATAATCAATCCATTCAGGGGAACAACATATTAAAAAATGGCACGAATCAGACCAGTGGTTCAAAAGTTAAGGGAAAGTCCTTTGTGACTAAATGAAGCATGGCTTTCCGGCCCAAACCAGTTTCAGAGTCTTCTATCCTGGAGATAAGTAATTCAATTATCTCCCAGGACAGACACAAGACTCCATTAAGCACATAGTTGCAAAAAGACACAAAACACTTTAAAATACATAAAGTCACCTTTTATACATAAAACACAGACATGTCACATATCCCCAGATAGCTGGGATCTGTGCGCACAAAACTACCAAATAGCGCTCAGATCCTATTCACACAGTTCAATTGCCATGGAGCCGAAGTCTTTAACTACACGAATGGGCTCCATGGCATAGCTATCTGGGTTAAGACATTCACATAAAGTCTGGTCCATAGTCCAAAGGCAAGAGGCGGGCAAGCAGCCCCCTCCAAGGACACGTGGCGCAGTCGGTTTCGCCACAGTGTTTTTCTGCTACGGGGACAGGACAACTGCACCGCATCAAATAGATGATGCAAGGGGCCAGGTACCATCAAATCTTGCCGAGCAGCAATCAAATCCACAGGAGAGTTTGTGCTAAGCAGAAATTATGCAAATGGGAACCTGGTAACTGTCTTTGGGGTCAAAGGCCGGTTACAGCCCATCAGATCTAGAGGAGGGGTATTTAGGCCCAGTTCTCATCCTGCTCAGTGCCCTGTCGTGGTTTCCCTAGTGGTTGTCCGAGAGCACGTTCCTGATTCAAGTTTCTTCTGTTTTTTTACTTTGGCTTTGATTTTGACTTCCCTGTATTCTGGTATCCCTGACTTCTGGCTTTCCCTTATCGTTGTCTCTTTCTGTATCCCCTGACCTCGGCAAGTATCCTGACCAGTGGTGTATCTTGGTTTTGTGCTGCCTTAGGCAGGACAAAATTAAGGCACCCTCCTCCCCACCCCCCCGCGCCACTCCCACCCAATCCTTCCACCCGCCCCGCCTTCTAAATACACACACACATTCACTGACAGATACGCATACACTAACTAACAGAAACACCCTCACACTCACTAAGTCACACACAGACACACACTAACAGACACACACACTCACTAACAGACACACACTCACTCACAGGCAAACACACTCACACTAACAGACACACACACACACTCACACACACTAACAGACACTCACACTCACTAACAGACACACACTCACTCACTAACAGACACACACACACACACACTAACAGACACACACACATACTCACATTAACACATTTTTTTTTTAAATTCAACTCCCCCCCCAGCCTCCTTACCTTTGGGAATGCTGGGGGGGTTTCTATTTCTGGCTGCTGGGCGGATGGCGCTGGCGGGCGGCTGGCGAGGGAGCACTTCCTCTGAGCACTCTGCTCAGCTCCCGTGCGCACCGTAGAGCGATGCCGGGAGCCGGAATATGACCTCATATTACGGCTCCCAGCCTCACTCTGCGGCGCGCGAGGGAGCTGAGCAGACAGCTCAGAGGAAGTGCTCCCCCGCCCAGCAGCCCGACCGGCGTGTCAGTTAGCCGCAAGGCTAACAAGACATTTGCCCTGGGCATTTGGGGGCGGCTTTTTTTGCCGCCCCATGGAAAATGCCGCCCAAGGCAAATGCCTTGTTTGCCTTGCGGCTAAAACGGCCCTGATCCTGACTACTCTTTGGCACGTTAAGTCCGGCCATTTTAAGGCCTAGTAATACATTACCTATTCGTCATCTGTGTTACACAATTCTTCGTGCTGGATCAACTAGTAATCCTGACATGAATGCCAACAAGGGTTTTGCCACCAAGTACTAAGTCGAAGGGGTCAAATACTTATTTCACTCATTGACATGCAAATCAATTTATAACTTTTTTGACATGTGTTTTTCTGGATTTGTTTGGTTATTCTGTCTCTCACTGTTAAAATACACCTACCATTAAAATTATAGACTGATCATTTCTTTGTCAGTGGGCAAACGTTCAAAATCAGCAAGGGATCAAATACTTTTTTCCCTCATTGTATATAGTTTAAATTTTCTCATATATATTTTTGCATGTTTACAAAAATAACTTTAGAGAAGTTGTACCTTCTACAGAAGTTTTATATTGTGTTTTTTTTTTTTTTTAATATATACATTTCTTTATATACTTTGTTAAATAGTTATATATGTTCATATGATGTATTCCACGATGTACCTGTTATTTTAATGGCAGTTCATGTATTTAATCATATACAGTTAAATTTCTAACAGGAAATAATGGAAAGGCTATCATGCAGACTGGGGGTCTTAACCCCTTAAAACCGCAGGACGTACAATTACGCCCTCTAATAGGCGGCTCTAAACGCCGCCGGGCGTAATTGTACGCCCTCCGGTTTTTGTTAACTTACCCGGTCGCCGGCGGTCCCACGCCGGCGATCGCGGTGGGGGGGACTCCCAGGGAGCCCCCCGCGGCACATCCGTCCTCGTTGAAGCCCCCCGGCTATGTGAGAGTGGGGTCCTAGCGAGGACCCCACAATCACATGGCCGGGTATAGCTGGCTTCTGTATTGCCGGCAGGGGGGCTGCCTGTAATTACAGGTGGTCAGGCTGAAAATAAAATAAAAATAAGTTAATGGTGTAAAAAAAAATAATTATATATACTTAGATCATATGTATATATTATATATATATGATCTAAGTATATATATACACATATACATACACACACATACACCGTCTAGGTGTATTTTACTATTAATATATATATAATTATATATATATATATATATTAATATCAAATTACACGTAGACTGATACTGATTAAATATATATATAATTGTTATATATATATTTATATATAATATAAAAAAATAAAAATGTAAATACGTTAAAAAATAAAATTAAAAAAATAATTAAAAATAAATAATTAAAAAATATATAGATGTGTGTTATTTCGTTCTAACTGTTTTGTGAAATTAATATATATATATATATATATATATATCAAAATACACGTAGAACGAAATAATATATCTATATACATAAATATATACGTATATATCACTATATATATACCTATATATAAATAAAAATATTTTTTAAAAATTATATAGATATATACATATATATACACATACGTATATATATACATATATTAATTCTACATATATATTTATGTAATATTTTTGCATAATTAGGTATCTTAATTAATTACAATTAGCAGGACCTGCCTGACAACCCATGCCGAAAGTAAAGGGAATTTAATTTGCTAGCACTATATTTAACCCTATAACTTTCCGAGACACCATAAAACCTGTACATGGGGGGTACTGTTCTACTCAGGAGACTTCGCTGAACACAAATATTAGTGTTTAAAAACAGTAAAATGTATTACAATTATGATATCGCCAGTAAAAGTGACGTTTTTTGCATTTTTCACGCACAAACAGCATTACACGGACAATATTATTGCTGTGATACTTTTTACTGTTTTGAAACACAAATATTTGTGTTCAGCTAAGTCTCCCGAGTACAACAGTACCCCTCATGTACAGGTTTTATGGTGTTTTCAAAAGTTACAGCGTCAAATATAAGGCTTGCATTTGATTGTTTTTCACATTAAAATTCGCCACATTGGTTACGTTGCCTTTGAGACCCTATGGTAGCCCAAGAATGAAAATTACCCCTATGATGGCATACCATTTGCAATAGTAGACAACCCAAGGTATTGCAAATGGGGTATGTCCAGTCTTTTTAGTAGCCACTTAGTCACAAACACTGGCCAAAATTGGCGTTTTTTGCATTTTTCACACACAAACAAATACTAACGCTAACTTTGGCCAGTGTTTGTGACCAAATGGCTACTAAAAAAGACTGGACATACCCCATTTGTAATACCTTGGGTTGTCTACTATTGCAAATGGTATGCCATTATGGGTGTAAATTTCATTCCCGGCTACTATACAGTCTCAAAGGCAACGTAACCAATCTGGCGAATTTCAATTTCAAATGTAACATGCTATATTTGACCCTGTAACTTCCCAAAACGCCATAAAACCTGTACATAGGGGGTACTGTCTTACACGTGAGACTTTACTAAATACAAATATGTGTATTTTATTGCAGTAAAATCAAACAGTATTATGACACTGACCTTTAAAATGTAATTTAGAACTAAAAAAATAAAAAAAATCGTATTTTCTCCCATTTTTTTCATATTAAATTATGTTTCATAGCTAAATATTTGATATTAAATGAAAGCCCTGTTTCCCCTGAATAAAATGATATATAATAAGGGTGGGTGCATTTACTATGAAAGAGGTGTATTACGGTTGGACAGACATGTAGCGCAAATGCCAGGTTTTGTTTACATTTTGTTTTGTTCACAATGTGTACATTTGGCTCCGTCCTTAAGGGGTTAATCTATATTAGTTTGAGTAAAGGGTGCTATCTGCCGCCATTTGAATGAAATAAAAAAACCATTATTATAAACTAAGATAATCTCACTCATTGCCTTTTTAAAAGATCCCTTCTGACACACAGTTTTGATGCAGTAAAGGGTTACTTGATATTATTCTTCCACCTGGTTATCTGCAACAAGGTAAAACGGAAACTGAATACATTAAACAGTTTAGATATTTACAGATGAGATGGCCATCGGTTCAGTTTCATATTCACTCTGTTATTGATTGAAATTGCATCTTAATGTACAGCCCTGTGTGTTATTTTTAATACATTGTTCTGGGCATCATAAATTAATTTGTCAGAAAAATCTATGGATTTATAAGATTCATTATGTTCTCATTTACCAACAAATGAGTTTCATTATTTGCTTTTTAAACCTTGATCACAGATATATTAACCTACACATCCTTCTCAACTCAAATGATGATTACTATGTTAAGACGTAAAAATGACTATTACAAATGATTACTGTGTTAAGACGTAAATGTCAGTGTGCTTACCGCAGTTTGATTTCGAGCTGTTGCTGTGTCTTACAGTATATTTGGTAACGCACTAATGTAATGTACTTTGAACTGTCTCCTTCTCACCTTCCCAATGTTCACTGTAATGTAGTTTACACAACAAATCACCATTATAGCTACACTTACTGGTGAGAATAACCGTTAAATTGTGACCTATTTAATGACATTTGTTGAATCACTTGAATTGCAGCAAAAGTTTCTAATGCACATATCATATGTAAATATATATACAGATATATACACACGCACAAACACACACAGAAAAACTTTATTCTATGAATAAGAGTTGTACACGCACTATGTCACATGAACACTGTTTTTTTGTATTTTTTTTTTTTTTTTTATTGATTCAAACCTTTCTGTGGATGGTGTACAACTGTTTGTTTATAATGCAAAAACATTGAAAGCATTTCCTTCAAATCTTTTTTTTATTATTTATTTATTTTTATTTTTTAGCTCAAACACCTGTCCAGCCTGGACCTGCGTCACATCACGAAGCTAGACAATGAAACTGTGATGGAAGTTGTGAGACGATGTCACAGTCTTACGTCTCTTAATCTCTGCCTGAACAGGAGCATTAATGACAGGTACAGCTGTAAACAACTTCACAACTCTTGTCTTTGTTGCCACGAACGCCCTACTGTTTAGATATCAAAAATTCTGTACTTCGCACTTGGGAAAGTAGGTCCCCCCCCTCATTATCATTATGGCGTTTTACAAAATATATAGAATCCTCTGCTGTTTATATGTAATTGCTTCTGTGTTCAGTGTGTTCACGTCACTGCTTTGCTCTGTATTTGCACGCCTTTCATACTGAAAGGCAGGGACGGATTTTTCATTTGGCAGAATAGGCACTTGTCCTGTATGGGGAAGTAGATCGCTTATGAAATTTTCATTAAACTACAATATATGTTTAGAATCATTCTGTGTAAGAATACACTTTGGCTCGTCCCAAACGGTATTTTCAAATTCCTAATAAGTACGAGATAATAAAAAACTGTCACCCAGTTCCTCAGCACGTCGTGGGCAATTTTTCAGTGCTGGAAGTTTTGTGTTGTACATCGATAGCTTAGTTCGCTATTTCATTGCCACTTACCTCCAAGAGGTCCTGCTGTGTAACAACTCAAACTGTTTTTAAATGGAATACTTCTTGCACAATTTATTTTCTTTCTTACAAAAGTCAGTTCCTGTAAGAGGGTGTAAGTTCTCTTGTTTTGCAAATAAATTGTGATTATACCACATTTGTCAATATTTTATTAAACCCCAAGCAATGAATACAATTATCAGCAGCTAATTGTAATATTGTAATATTGCAATATTTTACAATCATGGTGCTTTTCCTCTGTTCCAACAGCTCACATTAGCTCAGAGCAAACTCCTATTTATGTTGTTCTGTTGTTATAGAAAGGTTGCCTTTGAAAATGTGTATGCACTTTTACATGGTTTATTTTTTTATAGAACAATATGTGTTAGCTAATGAGGTTATGATGATTGCTTACAGGGAAACAGCACTTCAAGTACAAATCGCGTGTCTCTTTTCTGGCAAGTAATTAGATGCTGTACAGAAAGGATTTTTTTTTTTTAACTGTAGATTTGAAAGGATTTATTGTTACTCTAAACTCCATTGCTGTTTTCCATATACTTTTCTAACTATGCAGTTTTTCAATATTTCAGATATACATTCCCTGTCTTATGTTGGTAAAAGTAACATTGATGAATGTTATTTGCAGTATATTTGCATAGAGAGAACCTCATGTACGAAAGCAGGTTGGCAGATATTATTATATAATGTAGGAATTTAACAAACTTTCCTGCACCGGGGAGTTATGTAAATTGGGTGGGCGGGGGGAGCAAGTACAATGATTTACAAAGCACAACATATTCTGCAGCGCTGTGCAATATATTAACCGAGACAAATAATTAAGTCTTGCCCTGCCCAAACAAGCTTACAATCTAAAAGGAAGTTAATTTTGTGCAGAAAATGTAAAAGAACTCTATAGGGTCAGAAACACAAACGTGATAGTGTTAAAAACCCCTTCTAGCCCCCCTGCCCACCCCTTGCTCCCTTAAATATAGTAAAATTGTACCTTTATTGCAGTCTGCTGCTCCTGGCTCTATTCTTGACCTTCCTGCTTGGCTGTCATCATCAGAAGTGTTGATCTGAGCCAATCACAATGCTTTCCCATAGGAAAGCATTGGATTGGCTGAGACTGTCAAATATGCAGATCAGGGGCAGAGCCAGCACAAGCCAAACACAGCCCTGGCCAATCAGTATCTCCTTATAGAGATACATTGAATCAATGCATCTGTATGAGGAAAGTTCAGTGTCTGCATGGAGAGGGTGGAGTCACTAAATGGCAGTCACACTGTGCAGCACTGCCCCCAAGAAGCTCCTCTAGGAGCCATCTGACGAGTGGCCAGTGGAGTTATCACTAGGCTTATAGGTGTGCGCAGAAAAAATAGGGGAGGAGGAGTCTGCGCTATATAGCAAAAATAAAATAAGAGCTGCAACCCTCTAAAGGGAATCCCTCAAGAACCCTAATAAAATTGTAAAGAAAAGAGAAGGGGTGAAGGGCTGCGCTAGATACAGGTAAATAAAATTTATAAAATAATAGTAGGATAAAAATATGCAGTAAAAAAATATGCAGTAAAAAGTACAATAAGAATGTGTGAAACAAAGTCCGTGCACTAGTAGTGATAAAACTTAAAAAGTCCAATAACATGCATAAAAGACGTCTCACTGATATGTGGATGAGCTATACAGGGAGTGCAGAATTATTAGGCAAGTTGTATTTTTGAGGATTAATTTTATTATTGAACAACAACCATGTTCTCAATGAACCCAAAAAACTCATTAATATCAAAGCTGAATATTTTTGGAAGTAGTTTTTAGTTTGTTTTTAGTTATAGCTATGTTAGGGGGATATCTGTGTGTGCAGGTGACTATTACTGTGCATAATTATTAGGCAACTTAACAAAAAACAAATATATACCCATTTCAATTATTTATTATTACCAGTGAAACCAATATAACATCTCAACATTCACAAATATACATTTCTGACATTCAAAAACAAAACAAATCAGTGACCAATATAGCCACCTTTCTTTGCAAGGACACTCAAAAGCCTGCCATCCATGGATTCTGTCAGTGTTTTGATCTGTTCACCATCAACATTGCGTGCAGCAGCAACCACAGCCTCCCAGACACTGTTCAGAGAGGTGTACTGTTTTCCCTCCTTGTAAATCTCACATTTGATGATGGACCACAGGTTCTCAATGGGGTTCAGATCAGGTGAACAAGGAGGCCATGTCATTAGATTTTCTTCTTTTATACCCTTTCTTGCCAGCCACGCTGTGGAGTACTTGGACGCGTGTGATGGAGCATTATCCTGCATGAAAATCATGTTTTTCTTGAAGGATGAAGACTTCTTCCTGTACCACTGCTTGAAGAAGGTGTCTTCCAGGAACTGGCAGTAGGACTGGGAGTTGAGCTTGACTCCATCCTCAACCCGAAAAGGCCACACAAGCTCATCTTTGATGATACCAGCCCAAACCAGTACTCCACCTCCACCTTGCTGGCGTCTGAGTCGGACTGGAGCTCTCTGCCCTTTACCAATCCAGCCACGGGCCCATCCATCTGGCCCATCAAGACTCACTCTCATTTCATCAGTCCATAAAACCTTAGAAAAATCAGTCTTGAGATATTTCTTGGCCCGTCTTGACGTTTCAGCTTGTGTGTCTTGTTCAGTGGTGGTCGTCTTTCAGCCTTTCTTACCTTGGCCATGTCTCTGAGTATTGCACACCTTGTGCTTTTGGGCACTCCAGTGATGTTGCAGCTCTGAAATATGGCCAAACTGGTGGCAAGTGGCATCGTGGCAGCTGCACGCTTGACTTTTCTCAGTTCATGGGCAGTTATTTTGCGCCTTGGTTTTTCCACACGCTTCTTGCGACCCTGTTGACTATTTTGAATGAAACGCTTGATTGTTCGATGATCACGCTTCAGAAGCTTTGCAATTTTAAGAGTGCTGCATCCCTCTGCAAGATATCTCACTATTTTTGACTTTTCTGAGCCTGTCAAGTCCTTCTTTTGACCCATTTTGCCAAAGGAAAGGAAGTTGCCTAATAATTATGCACACCTGATATAGGGTGTTGATGTCATTAGACCACACCCCTTCTCATTACAGAGATGCACATCACCTAATATGCTTAATTGGTAGTAGGCTTTCGAGCCTATACAGCTTGGAGTAAGACAACATGCATAAAGAGGATTATGTGGTCAAAATACTCATTTGCCTAATAATTCTGCACTCCCTGTATATGTACAGTCCTCAAAGGTTAATCCTTCCGAATTTCCAGGGAATCCGTATATGAAAGATAAAAATATAAACACACTTCCAATGGTATAGTATGTACTGAGAGGATTAGCAAAATTGAATAAAATGGAGGATAGTAAACTCACATTTGTTGGAGCTTAGGACCAGCTCTTAGTTGTAAAGCACTTAGCGGTATAATCCCCGCTAATGGATATTCTGTGAGGTTAGGTCACTCCGTCCGGCTTTGGTTCTGTAGGATTTCGCACGGTATATAAAAACAAATATAGTGCTCTCAGTAGGAAGGGAAAATGTAAAATAAAATAAAATAAGTTATACTCACAATGGTAGAGCAGGGAGTACTGCTCTATTTATAATGCGCCGGTGGAATAATCCCCACCTGTGGATTGCTTTAAGCAGGAACAGTTAGATGCCAGGAGAAAAATAAAAAATAGTGTTTATACAATAAAACAAAAATGGTCCTATTAATAAGGGTACCAAATAAAAGTTTTTATTGTTAAAATACACAGTAAAAAACCATTTAACGCGTTTCACCTCATGGGCTTTATCAAAAATGGCTAAAGGATAGTAACCTGGCATAAAACAGTATTTATAATTATATGCAGAAGTTTAAAATTGGCGCCTAAAACAGTGCACCAATTACAAGCAAGGGATAACATAAACGTTTTTTGCAATTACAAAATGACACAAAAATTGGTATACATATAAAGGGAGTGAATGTATACATCATAGTATATTAGGTTTATAAAAACGAGCATTAGTTTGAACAATATTTAGTACTAAAAACCGTCACGTGATCTGGAACAATGTCACGTGATCGGACGGGAGCGGCGAATAGCACGCCGCTCACTAAAAAGAAGAGCGTTGTCTACAGAGGGCACGTGACCGGCGAAAGGAGAGCAGAGGCTCTCGGGGAATGTGGTTTTCGCCGGTCACTACCCTCATTTAGGGGAAACAGTGGGCGGCTGACTGGAGGCACCAATAGTCAGCCACTCACCAGCATATAAGCAACAGAAGCCCTCATAGCACACAATTAATAGAAACCCTTTTGATAAAATCTAATACTTTTGGCAAAAATATATAAATAAAACCTTTATGAATGAAATATAATAATAAAACATGTTTTAAAAAAGATAAAAACGGATTTCATGGTTATAATGTATATATATATACATAAAGACAATTGTAACACATAGCTTTTTACACTGGTGGATACTGCTATTATATTTTAAAATCACATCATAGGTGTGCGCAGCCTATTGTATAAGGGTGTGCACCCTAAAGCACAAACACACATGCCGCGTATATATATATATATATATATATACACACATATACTGTTGTGTAGGTGCTGTGTGTGTAGGTGCTGTGTGTGTGTGTGTTTGCAGGCTGTGTGTGTGTGAAGGCGCTGTGTGTGTGTGTTTGCAGGCTGTGTGTGTGTGAAGGCGCTGTGTGTGTAAGGGTGATGTATGTGTGTGATGTTAGTGTAAGGGTGCTGTGTGTGTGTAAGGGTGCTGTTAGTGTGAGGGTACTGTTAGTGTGTGTGTGTGTGTGTATTGTTTGGGGGCCGTAGTTAATATCCACCCTCCCTTCTTACCTTTTGTAGGGAGGGAGGACCTTGCTGCTGCCATCCCTGATGGTCCAGTGGTGAGTGAACTCTAGCCCCGCAGCCTGCGGGGCTAGAGTTCATTCTCGCGAGATCTGACCCTTGCCGTGGTAACCGCGGCAACGCTCCGACCTCGCAAGAGGAACGAGGCAGAGCTGCTGGCAAGAGCTCCCCGGGTCCTCTCCTGCCTCCCTCACTTCCTGTGGGCCGGTGAGGGAGATATTTGGAGGGAGGCACATAGCGCGGGCCACAGGGATTAGGGTGTGCCCAGGCACACCTGGCACACCCCGTGCACACGCCTATGACTAGGCTGTAATGTAAACACTGCATTTTCTCTGAAAAAACTGTGTTTACTGCAAAAAGCCTGGAGGGAATGATTATACTCACCAGAACAAATTCAATAAGATGTAATTGTTCTGGTGACTATAGTGTCCCTTTAATGGAGTGCTTACACTGGGTTTATTCTTTTTTCTGGTAACTGGGATGTGAGATAGGGGCTTGAAATTGTGACTTTGCTGTCAAACCTTGATTAGCTGGAGAGGTGTGATATAAACGCTTCATGCAGTTACCTAGTTAACACTGACGGTTGCTCACTGTGTTTTGTAGAGGAGTCCGTTAAAATAAAATCTATACTTTATATAAAAAAAGTACACACTACATAGATATGCCTCTTTACAGCCACCCACAATTTTACAACTTACACCTATATATACACATGCTTTTAAAAAAACCCATCATTTTCATACCTATATACACACGTCTTGACTGCACATGCTTTTAAAACCATACATTCGCCCACATACACATAAACTGTATTTTGTAAAGTAAATTGAAACAATAGCTAGCTCCTGTTGTTGTTTTTTTTAGCTTCTAGATTCTATAGAAAGTTGTCAAGCCCTAATTTAAGTACATTTATTTGTTTAAAATGTTATACCAGGATGAATGTATTGAGGTATATGTGGTTTTCAAGGATGTCCTGGGATCCTCGAACAATATGATTTTAAACTACTCATCATGAATAACCATTGACATTGTTACAAGATGGTTCGATCGGAGCTTGAGATACGCCATTTCTTAGATTGTGGACTGTGTAAGCTAACGTCTTGTCGGTAATAATGCATAGAGCCTTTACATGTCGGAAGAAAGTTGTATAGTATAGGAATGCTGCAATGCAATAGTGGCTACACATGCACAAAGCATAACATGATAACTAGGAAGGAGATGTATGTGCAAGAATCCAAGATTCTCAGGAGTGCAATGTTAACATTACATTCAAGCTAAAGACCAGACTGCAAAAGCACCAATCTTGAGAGATTCTCAGAACATGATCCAGGGCATGTTAAGGATTCACCTCTCAGATACTACGACCGTGATTTCTCCACTGTAATAATCAAATAGTAGAACTGGTCTATTAAATGGACATTATAGTCACCCAGACCGCTTCATCTCAATGCAGTATTCCAGGTACAGAGGTCCTGTCATTTTTAATCCTGCAATGTAAAACATTTAGAATGCAGGGTTATATCCGACACTAGTAGCTCTGTCTTCCTGACAGTCATTAGAGGTGCTTCCTCCTCCAGACCGAGTAAAACTCTGTCTGGGAATCAACCGCCATGCATGTGTACCTCCAATCCAAGGCTTCTCTATGAGAAACAATGAATTGGAGGGATTGAGAAGATGCCTTCAGGTATACTGACATATTTGAAGACTGAACAGAAAGCTGCAGCAGAGAAGTCCCTGCACATACTTTTTTCAAGACTATATATTCCCTATAAGGGGGGGGAGAGTCAACAAAATTGAAAGCTGTGTTCTTCTTAGAAACAAACCTCTGATTGCTTTCAGGAGGTAACTCAGGTTAATAAATGGCATAATGCGTTTTGTACCTTTTATGACACTCCCTCAGACCCCCGTTCTTCTCCTTTGTGAGGAGATTCAATAAAAGGCAAGTGAAAAGGTTCAATTCATAGCATTGTACTGAGATTCACCTTGCAAGTTGTTATGGCGTTTTAACTAAAAAGAATAAAACTTTCATTTTTTATGACCTTGACAATAGAGACTGTTTCATGGCTTTTCCCTTAACATACCCAGTATGTAGTTCAGACTGTATTGTGTATTAATACATGCTTTGTTTATGATTTGAATGCACTGTAACATTCAACCTGCCCTGTGTAAATTTCTAATGCTGTATAATCCATGGCCATTGTAACTATTTACTGCAGTTTCCCGTATTTCTCCAGAATGCTTCTTTAACCCCTTAAGGACACATGACATGTGACACATGTCATGATTCCCTTTTATTCCAGAAGTTTGGTCCTTAAGGGGTTAAAGAGCCATCACTTTCTTAAAAATCCTTTCAAACACTTACCCGATTCCAGGGTGGAAGTCCCTCCGCGCAGTCTCCATGTCTCCATCAACATTATCGCAAGGTGGGACCTAATGCACATTCAGCCTTCCCTATAGGAAAGCATTGAATGAGTGCTTTTTTTATTTGGGTTTTTTTTTAAACGCTGGACATCCTCATTCAAAGCATGTGGAACTGCAGCGTTGTTTTATGGAGTTAAACTCTGTGAAACAGCAGGAAGCGCATGTCTACCAGACAGCCATTAGAGGCAGTCTCTGAAACTGCAAATTTTTTAATTATTTTTTTTGCTTGCATGGTTAAGGGGACAGGGACAGTGCACCCAGTCCAATTCAAAGAAATGAAGGGGTTTGGGTGTCTATAGTGTCCCTTTAACGTCTGACAGCACTTCTCTAAATCCCTACACCTCTCCTAGCTTCTGACAACATTCCCCTAAACTCCTACATCTCTCCCTAGACTTCAATACCTCTAAACCTCTTCCTATTCTCTCCGATTACATACCAACAAACTTTCTAACCACTGCCTTCTCCCCCTCAGCCCTTAGCCCTATAACTATCCTTAGCTTTGTCAGCTTTCCCCCAACCCTCTAAATCTCTGCCATTTCTCTCATAAACCTCTTGATCACAGCTAACTCTACCAGCTCTCCCCTAAATCTCTGCAGCTATCCTAACCTTTCCCATCTCACCCTTACTTAACCATCGCAGACTCACCCCTAATCCCTACACCTCCTCTGCTAATCCCTTTACACCATTCTTTAACTCGGCCATATCTTAACTGTCATCACCTTTAAAACTACCTGACCTCTGCATCTGTCACCAAATCCTTTGCACCCCTCCCAATTTCTGCCAAATCACCCCTAAAAGATGTCTCCGTACATCTTAGATGCTCACAGCCCTCCTAATTCTCTGCCAGCCATGTTAACTCCTTGTCTATATAAAGTTTAACAAATGGCTGTCAAATTAGCCATTGTCTAATCTTACCTTGAAGGCCCACGAGCTCCTTAACCATAATTTACTCTGAATTCTATTTCACCGGTATCTTTAGTGCATTGCCTCCCATGTTCTCCTGTCTGGCTGAATAATCCTGATCCATTAATGTAGTGGTAACCGTTTTTGTGTCTGCTTTACAGTATGCTGACAGTAAATGGATGCCAGGCCATATCTCTGCGGGCGTAGACATGGTTTTAAATTAAACATGTCATGCAGAGCAATGCATCTCTTTCTTTGGCTGCCTCTGTTTGAGACTTTGCAGCCTTTTTTTGCCTAAGATGTCCCTGAGGCCTTTTTTTTTACATAGAACAGCCTTTTCTCTGCAGTTTAAGTATTGCTTTCCTTTTATGCGTTTGGCTCTCTTGTGAATTTATCTTATTGTATTATATTACTTTTTCCATTTATTTGCCCAGTTCTGCTTTCTGTCACATATTTTCTGTAAACTCTATGCCACCTATATAAACACATGTACCAAAATAAATACAATCTTTTGTATTTTTTTTTCCTTTTCCTCCGTAGCAGTCTAGTAATACTGTCCCTTGTAAGTGCTTTTAATGCATTGCTCGCTGTGTTTATCATTCCGGGCCCGCCATGGTTTTCCCCTTTAAAAAGAACCATTTGTTTATTTAAGAGCAATATTTTGCAAACGCGTTGAACATCCGATGACATGAATGTGGTGAAGTAGCGGATCGTATTACACTACACTTGGCTGGCTTGGCAAACCGTGTTTAAATCCAAGACCTTCGATCACCTGTGATGGAATTTTATATAATGAACCTAATTAAGTGCCAATTATGGATAATTACCTGTTATTATAGAAAAATGTACTCAGTAGAAATTGGCGGTATTTGCCTCTGTCTCGTCCATAATTAATCTGAAATGGCCTCAGTGTCTCGCTTATTGTCTAATCTCGTATTTTTAACCTAATATAGAGATGAAAAATATGAAATAGAAAAAAATCAACTGCATATTGATTGTACATTTTCAACATCAGGCCCATAACCTCCTTCTTGGGAGTTATAATCACTCCGCGGGCGCCCATGATGTTTGTGATTTAACTGGTCGGTATTTGATGCATTATTTTTAACTAAAAATTAATGGCGTTTTAATGCCTGTATAAGGCATTCGTATAACCCAGTTTTTGAATTCCCAGCAGGGGCCACTTATGTAAGCTGAACCAGTTCTATGCTGAGATTATTTGGGCTTCAAGATTATAAAGCATTTCAGGACTCTGAAAATGGCATCAGCACAGCTTTTGAGGCTCACCCATCATGACTCTGGTGGGATCCTGCACGCCATTACCACTACATGACCCATCAATGGTCTCCTTGATATGTCATAATATTGACTTGTACCGGCGAAGCAGCAGAAAGTGTATTTAACTCTCCCCAAACAATGTGTCATGGAGACAATGCTTATGAGGAAGACTTCTTTGAATGCAAAAGAAAATACTGCCTACATGCTATCTAGATAAAATGCAGAATAAGTGAGTTCAGAAATTATCAAAGCACAATAGTGAAAATACTGGTTTGCTTATTTCAGCTACAGTTACAATGAAACATTTTATATCAGTGCTTAGCAGTATTTTTCCTGTAGTAACAATCTATCATTGATCATAGATGGAGCACATTGGGGTTACCTTTTGATACATCAGTTGAGTTTTGTAAATGTTCATCCTACCAATCCCTGCTGTGCCATTCACATTAGCAACATTTTGGTGTAGTCCTGTTTTGAATGTGACAAATCCTCTTTTAACCCAATAGTAAGGCATTGTGCTGCTATCCATTGATATCTTTGTGACCTGCTAGTGGGAGCTGTAGGGTTTATACTGGTTTCACATTCTTCTAATAGGTTAACGTGGTGTTTACTAAACTCTGAATATTTACAATTTAATTCTGAATGTAAAAACAGGCAAAATATCTTATGAGAAAAGATTCTCCACCTCATCTACAGTCACAACTATTTTTGCCTCGGTTTGTCCATTTGGATTTAATTTACGAAAATATTACTGAGATACCATAAGAAAACGTTAGAAATTTCAACAGCTAATGGTATGCCGGGCTGCTAAACTTTCTGTAACTTCCCAGCTGAATGCGTACCTACTGGTATGACTGTAGTATGTCAGGTTACTGAACAGATCAGATTGTTTTGCAATGCACAGTCAGTGCATCATCGCACTGTACATGCTATCCGTAATGTAAAAATTAATACGCTTGTTGATCCACATCAAATGTATACGTGAATACGTATCTCACCATTATGCTAAAAGTCCCAATAATTAGTCTTGTGTATTTACATACTGTAGGGTATGTAATCCGGAAGGGGCAGGCCCACTGAAGGGGCATGTCAACCTGACGTTCAGCACTGCATGGGGACTATATTGTATGGTGGGACAAGGCGAAAAGTGGGACTATTGAGAGCCCAGAATTTGCACAGTAAAGCATCTCTCCAGTATATTCATGTGTATTTAGACAGTGAAGATGCATCCCTCATCCCCTCCAATATAACTCATTATTAATATATTATAATATTTATCAGACTCCCCTCCAATATATTATTGTATTATTTATGCAGTAAATTTATTTACACCATGAGCGAGCCTCCAATATATCTTACTGTAATTGTAACAGCGAAGCAGCCTCCTAAATATTAAAGGAACACTCCAGTCACCATAATGATTACAGCCCCATTGCAAGCAGTCAAACCATTTTTAAACAGTTTGGGTTCTTCTCTGGGGTCTGCCAGTGACCCTCCCCACGTACCTTACGAATGATGAACTGGAAGATCTTTCGTTGGTAGTGGAAGCCAGAGTGGAGCCTGGCAGATTCCAGGTAAGAACTTGTTTACTGCTGACTACTTACAATTCACCCCTAACACAATAACCACTACAGCGAACTATAGTGGTTATGGTGCTTGGATTATTCCTTTAAGGCTTATTTACACAATGAGGAGCCCCAATCCAATATCTTATTGTGTATATACACAATGAATCAGCCTCCTGTACCAATATATATTTGTATAATTCTAGTAATATAGTAAATATGAATGTATATTTACAGAGTGAAGCAGTCTGCCGTATATCATTGTATATTTGCACAGTGACACAGACCCTGCTCTGATATATTAATGTGTATTTACTGAGTGAAACGGTATTATTGTGTATCTGCCGAGTGAAGCAGTATCAGAAGTATAAAAGGGGAAATGTCCCTTCTCTGGAATGTATACTATTGGAATACAATCCTAATATCAACTAGAACTTTTTTAAAACCATTTTACATTTTTTGTTTTGTTTTTCTTTTGAACGTATATAGCATATAACATTGCAATCCATTTCAGGCAAAGCAAAGTGCAAACATTGCAAATGAAGACAATAGAAACATTGTTTTTATTTCTCCTATTCTCTATATGCTCTCTCTATGCTGACTGCCAGGTGTAAAGGGCGGAGCTTATAACAATGATTGACAGGGAGCTAAGATGGAGCTGGCTCTCTCTATACTGACTGCCAGGTGTAATGGGCGGGGCTTATAACAATGACTGACAGGGAGCTAAGATGGAGGCGGCTCTCTCTATACTGACTGCCGGGTGTAAAGGGTGGAGCTTATAACAATGATTGACAGGGAGCTAAGATGGAGGTGGCTCTCTATACTGACTGCCAGGTGTAAAGGGCGGAGCTTATAACAATGATTGACAGTGAGCTAAGATGGAGGTGGCTCTCTCTATACTGACTGCCAGGTGTAATGGGCGGGGCTTATAACAATGACTGACAGGGAGCTAAGATGGAGGCGGCTCTCTCTATACTGACTGCGAGGTGTAAAGGGTGGAGCTTATAACAATGACTGACAGGGCGCTAAGATGGAGGTGGCTGTCTCTATACTGACTGCCAGGTGTAAAGGGCGGAGCTTATAACAATGATTGACAGGGAGCTAAGATGGAGGTGGCTCTCTATACTGACTGCCAGGTGTAATGGGCGGAGCTTATAACAATGATTGACAGGGAGCTAAGATGGAGGCGCCTCTCTCTATACTGACTGCCAGGTGTAAAGGGTGGAGCTTATAACAATGATTGACAGGGAGCTAAG